AATTTTAACCGGTCTTCCAAGCGTTAAGAGGTGACTATTCCGTTTCTCGCAATTCGGTCTTCTAATAGCATGGGAACCTGAGCATTGTCACTTCCATTACTATTGCCTGAACTCTTCCATGCGGCTCTAAGTAATCTGTTGCCAAATTCTAGTCTACTAGCACCTTCAAATTGAATGGGTCTAGAGGAGTACATACAAGTTTTTTTCAGTATGGTTTATTTTTGCTTTTCATTCTATAGAACCAATTGCCCGACGTGGCAAAGGCCTTTGAGGATTCGGGCGTAAAAGTGCACATGTTCGCCAGCCAGTGGTTCCTCACTCTTTTCATAGCCAAATTTCCCCTCAAACTCGTCTTTCGCATTCTCGACATCTTTCTTACCGAGGTCAGTTTACTTTCGGCACTGTCGCGCATGATACCTTCGAGCTACACTTCATCGAGTGACTAATCGTACAAATTATGATAGTCAGCTGATCTTTTGACCATTCCTTATCACTTCCAGGGCCTCATCTTCATCTTCAAAGTTATGATATCTCTTTTGCGAATATCTCGCAGTAGTTTATTGAGCTTGGACTTCGAGGGCACCCTCAAATACTTCCGCGTAACCTTGCCCAAGCGATTCCGTTCCCGGGAGGCTTGCGATGAACTCATCTCCATGGCTTGTAGGGCCAAGGTGAGGGTGTTTCCCTTTTTGCACAGATAGCTGAATTAATAGCACATTGCATTATTGAGGCGTCACCCATGTACGATGATTGCAGGTAATACCGTTGTTCTTACCACCTTTCTTTGCCGGGCAGATCCAGCATAGGTTGGGCTTTCTAGGAATTCCTAATATCAGTTTCTTGTTGCTAATTTAGTGCAATTGGTTTTTATATCTCCTTGAGTAGCAGCATTGCGTAGGTGTCGATGATAGTGAATGCTGCACTAACTCATCCTGCACCAACAGACGGGTAGCAGACTGAAGTGCATACTTAATCATTCAATGAGTTCAGTCTTCGAATATTCTGTATCCGTGGCTCAGACGTCAAATTGTAGCATTATCGCCCATCCTTTTCTCCGACAGCAGCAGTCTTTCCCACACCTGTAGGACTTTGTACTGCCTTGCAGCACTACATTGGTTGAACGGTCAGCGGTCGATTGCTAACGGAACTGGTTCCGATTTAATCAACCGGCAGCGAAGATTGTGTCCGTAAAATTTATGAAAGAAATGCTGCTTCAACTTCTCCATCCTTTGGCGCTTGCAGCAATCTCGAGTTTTAAACGTGGTGTAAGGCGTCGAAAACGACAGCTAAATGCGCGATTGGAATGAACATGTTGGGTGCGGAATTAAGCGAAGCTACTTTTGGCCGAACGCACTTTAATGCAGGGCTTGACTCATGCACTACCCCCACTTTGAAACATCGCTGGTCTTCAGAATAACAGGGGCAAATGTGCCTCGGTTTTCCGAAACTCATTGTTTTTCTTTGCCGTAACAGACGTTTGATTCGTTTAGTCTTTCTAATCATTCCTTAACTTGCAAGGGCAGGAAGCAATTGCAATTATCAAAGAGAGAGTCTGCTACCTGAAGCGATACTTGTAAGCCTTCAACCTTAGCTGGACATAATCCGAATTCTGCACTGCCAGCAATGCGTTAGCTTCGACTTTTGCTGTTGTTGCATTGGCTGAGAGCCCTTTAGTGGTAGGACTTTCCATTGTGGTCATGTCACCTCCGAGTTTCTCTTGTAGAAGTTGGAGAATCTTACCACTTTAGTGACGAGTACGTAGCCATTTTTTAAAACGAATGGTGGTCTACCGCCGGTGTAGTGCCATGCCGAAAAGCTGGAGTGGACAAGGTAGTCTGTTCTACTGCCTAATTATTAGGTTTCGGGTAGTCGACTGAACCGGTACGCACGCGATTGGGAGCGGATTCGGGAAGCGGAGGCCAATGAGAATTCACCGGTGGTGGCTCTTCAGCGCGAGATATGGCAGCTGCGTGAGCAATGCGGTCGGTTGGAAAAGGAGAACGGGGACTTAGCTGGCAATGTCCTCTCCAGCAAGACCGAAATGCAGAGCACTATTGACAAGGCGGGTTCTCTTCCCTCTTCTCTGATGTTGTGCTATGCATTACTGGCTCTCGAAGCGATTTAAATCAAAGCAGCAAAGTATCATTTATGTGTCACTTTAATGAACGCGTCTTAAACAGATTTCTAATTGGATTGTGAAATGTGGTTTTGATGTCAAGAATTACAACAAATGTTGCTTTTGTAAAGACGCTCACATGGTAGTGTCAAAGGCAAATGAATTCATTAGCTGACTAGGTGGCTAGCACTGCGTTCTTTTATGATTGCTTCCTGATGGAGGATTTGGCTTTTCAATGCTAAGGTGTCTGTACTCTTCAATATTTAGCTGGAAGATAAGGTGGAGTCGCTGAATCAGGAGCTGATGAATGTTCGTCATGAGTTAATTGAGAAGCAGGAGGAATGTATACTGCTTGAAAGGGATTCCACCAAGGTGAGCACATTTATTCATATCTAGGTTGAAAAATGGTGTATTCACTTATCGTTATTTAGATTTTTGGAATATCGTTCTTCAATTCAAATAATTCCAGTGGAAATGAATTGCCTTAGTCTCCTAAGTAGTAAGTATTGCGACATCACTGTCCCAACTTACTTCCTCTTGAATTGCTTTCGTCTCTCTTGTCATCTTTGTGTGTTTTTTTAAAAGCACAAGCTGAGTTGAAACCTTGTTGTTTTTCAATTACTTTTTTGCTGATGGACGAAGAGAAGGTCACTCAAGCGTACACCGTTATGTCTGTGCAACGGTGAATTCCGACCTTGTCACTTTTCTGATGGCAGATGGGTGCTGACCTTGTGTCGATAGGTATTTTGCTATTAGACTTAACAATAGATGCTTTTCTTCTGCCAGATCTATCCGCAGTATCTGCTCCATGAAATACGACTTTCTGGTTTTGTTGAAATCGCCACTTTATTACTTTTCCACAGTTAAACAGATTCTAAAGCACAATGTGTGACCGTAACCGTACTGGGAGAGTAAAGAAGACCTCTACTTCTCACAGCAAAGCCCTATGCTGCCAACATAGAGGTCCAAATAGGAAGAACTGAGAACTCCCCCTCGTCCATAAAGACACCCAAAACACTAACTCCCCACAAATTAACGGCACTTAATCCTCGATATTTAGGTAGTAGGTCACCGTAAAGCTTGCTCTGCTTTTGGGGTGATCCATTGCAGCGGCTTGTTCACTCTACCAGCCCGTAGTTGTTGGAAAGCAAACCTTAAACTTGGATTGTGTTTCACTCACTTGCGTTCTTTGTTCTTGCTCAGGAATAATGAAGGTTTTGTCTTTGTTCTGGCACATTAGGGCCACTGCAGAATGACAGTCCTGTGGAAAACGAGTTATAAAGCTATCGGTTACCATCTATGTAAATCTGAAAAGGAAGTTGTGGTCAAAGCCAAGGAAACGGGCATTGCAAGTTCTGCATAACTCTGTTCCTATAAGGCTGGGTCTTCTTTGTGTAGTGCAAATGATCAAAACTAGTGTATCCGTTTGCGGGCGTTGTTTTTTTTCACTAAATATCACAAGCTGCTGTTCTTACGGAAAACGTACCTGGGTAAAGGATTTTCGCTGGATTTGAGCGATGATGATCATTTTGTCTTGGTGCTAGACAATTACACACCGAATTGGAAGCGCAAGGACAACAGCAGTTGTGAAAGCTGGGTCTTTTCTCCCTTATGGTTTGGTTGCGTCTCTCTGGGAAAGAGCAGTGAATTTGATTCTTAACTTTATTAACGCATCCAATACTTATGGAGACGTTTTGAAACTAGACAGAAATGGTTTCAGCCCACCTAGCCTCTTTATCAGCATAATAAGTGGTGTAAATGTGGTAGTAACCAAAATCTGGTGTCCATTCCCACGGGGCACCCAAGCGCATGACAAACAGCACTCTATTTTCTCACCTACACGTTCTTTATAAAGGTGAAGGCTATGTTTCGCGAAGCCCTGACTAAGCATGACGAACAAGCGACTATCATCGCGGAGTACAAAACCATCACAGCCAAACTCTCGAGTCGCATTGAGGAGGAGGTGTCACGGTCGTCGACACAACCAAAGCTTTCCCAAATCTTTGTGGATGCGGTGCTTGCTTGTAATGGCACTTGTCGACAGGCGCTCGATGAACGCATGCCTGGATGGTCGTCCGAGTCAGCGGCCTCCAATGGCATTATTGTTGCATGGCAATCAGGAGGAGAGGACGTGGAGGCACTGCGACAGCGTGTGAGCAGATTCATCAGCATTTCTGGTCAAAGTTGAATGCCTACTTGAATAATATTAGTAGGAGTGGCTTTTATCAGGCTATAGTAGATTTTAAATGAGTTAAAATCCAGAAGACAATGAGGTTGTTTTACCGGCCTTCTATACGTCTTCTTTGAGACCCATTCTAAGGGTGCTATCTCCTTTCGTGTTTTTCGAGTCAGGGGAAAACTTTTGTTTTCGGTGGTAACACAACTGGTTGTAAATGAGTCTCGTACTTAGCTCAAACACATTTCGACAAATCTACTTACTGCTTCTTCTTTTAAAACTTGCTTTATCAAGTGGTGACTTAAATCGTTATTTGCTTTTCGGAAAATCAATCGCGTGGATTTGAAATTCAATGTCTCCGCCACAATTGCTTACATTTTCGACAAGAAAATGAATGTTTTTTTATCACACAGGTGAAGGAATTGGAATTAGAGTTGGCGAAAAATAAGGTGCATCTGGTGGACGCGGAGTGCGCTCGGCAGGAGTTGAGTCATCAGCTGATGCTGAAGACGGCTGAGTTGGAGGAGCTCCGCAACCCCGCTGATGTTCCATTCACCCACAACGCGCGGCAATGGCTCGCCAAGAAGTGGACTACTGCCACTTCTCGTGGCAATGGAAATGCCGCCGCTTCTCCCACCACCGCTGCCGCCGACTCTCCCGCCGCTGCCGCCACCATCGCATCCTAGGTCTTGAAGTCACCTTATCTGTTCATCCACCCAGTTGTGCTTTACTGTTCCTTGTATCAATCGAATTCTCGCCAAACCTTCTTTATGGTGCTTCTTAACTTTATTCCATCTCTTATCCCAATTATTTGCCTCTTTGTCTCATGAAAAGCATTAAAATTGATATTAGCTTCTTTGTGTCTGTTTGTCGAACGAGTTCTGGCGTGACGTTAAGATAAAATGAGTTTCATATTAACGTGAAAACACCAGGTTTTGCGTAGTAATGGGAGGATTCTGTAGAGGCTCAGTCCAGAAGGATTAAATCGGCCCCGATTATTGCCCATTCTTCAACGCCTACTGATGAAAGAAGGTCGTGTCGCCTCAATCCTGAATGATCTCCAGGAAAGCGTAACGCGGTGAGCGACGTAAATTGCTGCCTGAGGAACGAGTCCCTCCTCCATCTTTCTAGTGCCGCTCTTCACCAAACACAACCACGATAGGTGACCATTAGAAGGGATGGCCGTTGCAGAGATTTGGCCAGGCATTGAATTGTTTCAGCATGTGTAGCAAGTGAGAGGCATAGCATCACTAAGGGGAAGTAGTCTTGAAAATGCAGGATAGTAAAATGGTCTTGAACTTCGTCCTCCGGTTGGTTGTGGATCACACATAAATCCCCCACTCATTGTAAATAGGGGAGTAATTGGAGCGAGTTCAGGGTAGTGGTGGCGCATAATTTTCGTACATGAAAGGCTGAAGGCGTTGACATCACGCACAGTGTCATTTGGGCCTTTTGTATTTTTCTGTGCCTTTGGACTTCGTTACAACTTCAAGTTGCCAACATGATTTTGTTCGTATGGGGACCAAATTTGTAGGGTTGCTTTTGCCATTATGGGCACAACCCGTTTAAAGTGGGAAGACTTCGATCGCAGTGAATTCACAGCTTCCCTTATTCAACCGTTCCTAACTCGAAAGCAGAGATGTGGAGTTAATGACTTCAGAATTATTACAATCTGAGGTCTCAAGCTATAAAAATAAAATTTGTGCTCATTTCAAAGCATCAAGTTCAATGAGGCGACTGACGAATTGGGGTGAACAGAACCCAGCAACTCGAAAGCCAAAAACATTTTAACAGCACAATTCACTCCCAAATGAGAGATCAAAATCATTGGCATCGTAAAATCATCAAGAGAATTGTTTGCTAGGTAACCGAAAGGCTAAGTTCCATTTCTTTTTTGATGTGATGCGGTAAAAGGTCAAGTCACTAGATGAGACACTAGGCAGCAATCACATAGCGGTGGTACAAATTGGTTCGGAAGAAAGGCAAAAGGGATAGATAATTAAAATGATAGATGAAAAAATTATAAACTTATTTGCGTGGATCCCTACACATCAAAGAAAACTTTAAAAAGCCTTCAATCTCATCATTAACTCCAGGAGGGACTGGCTTTACTGTTTATGTTGACTAATAGGGGGTGAAGGAATTCCGCATTTGCACTGAATGGTGGCACAAAAATGCGATTCCCCGTGATGGGATTAAGGATGGAGATGGAGGGTGCTGAATTGGTCGACTCTGTCACCAGAGCATAGGCGTCCCCTTGTCGTTCCGAGGAATGGTGACGATGCTGCTGCTGCTGATGGTGATGATGATGGTGGTGGTGAAGGAGGAGGCAACTGGGCGCAGATGCCTCCAGCTTCGGTGCCTTCGACAACACTTCAGTAGCTGTAGTGACACTAGGATCCACAAAGTGCACATTCTGTAGACAACCATCCAATTGACAGCACGGCTTCAGAGTCACATAGGCCTCCGATGACTTGGCGTCGTTGGTCCAGATCTCGGTATGAACCATGGCCTCCGTGGAGATGGGAAGAGTGATCAACTCCGTCGTGTTGGACCTCTTACCCAAGGATGTTGGACAACCAACCAGCTGATTGATGCACTAGCGAGACAGAAATGGGAATGAGCTACGGATCACCTCTGGTAAAGGTCTCAATCGGGCAGTCTAGAGGTGCCTTCTCCGCGTCTTCAATGTCGACCTGATTGAAGCCGTGTCGAAGAGGCAGCGACTACCTGTCACGCGCCTGCTTTATGCAAAGGCAGCACCTCCAAGGCGCTCCGTTGGACCCCTTAACTCAAGCAAGCTCCACTCGAGGCACCTTCAATCAATCTCCAATCAGTTGCACCAGTTCTGCTGACCCCATGCTTCTGAGAAACAACGAAATAGCAACGCATAGCAAACCCACTGCAGCGTTATGGCACGCGCGATCCCAACGAGCTAAATGAGCACTTCTGTGATGCCCCAGCCTCGCTCATCAGTCCCATCTCCACGCCTCCACAACGACCAGTAA